TATATATATATAAAGCACAAACAATGTCATTCTTCCCATCCCATTTAGTAAGCTTGTTCTAGCACCCATTTTTGAGAACTTGTCACTTGATCAATTGAAGCAGGGTTAGATCCTGTTACAACTTTTCACTTAACCCATCACTCCAGTAATATGACATCACCGCCCGTGGCAGCCCCTTACTAAACAACATAAAAAATTATAATATCTCACATCAATTCAACTGCCCACATGCACTAGAACAAAATGACCTAATTAGTTGAACACCAAAATAGACATTTAGGGGATATTGACAGAATAATGTTGAACACTGTAAGCTTATCTCCACAATTCTGGATCGAGGCACTCTTAACTGTAATATATCTTATCAATACGATACCCTCCCCAAATACAAACCACCAATCCCCATATCAAATATTCAATCAAAAAAAAAATCTCACTTCTAATCATCTCAAGACCTTTGGTTGTGCCCGCTTTGCGTGGCAACAACCTAATAATCAAACCATATATATATCATTGTATGATTTCTCATTTTCAAGTAAACCTCTCTCTTGTATCATTAAAAATGATTCCAAGAAGAAAAAAAAATAAAGAAGATGAGAATATATGACAAAATTAGAAAAAAAAATTAAAAAGAAACTTGGAGAGTTTATTCAAATAAATCTCGTGTAATAGGTCGAGAATATAAGTCCAAAACAGAATCAGATCAAAATATATTGAATATAATATACATGAAGCGAATCTCTACCTAAGCAAACGATAATCAAAGAACCAAAAAACATATTTTGTTCTGGGTCAAGAGCAACTCCTAAAAGATTGTCTTCCTTTGGTTAATTACATCTTACGGGATTCTCAATAATACTTTCGATAATAGGGGTCCTGCTTACCTTTCTATGATAACCAGTAAAAATAGGTATACCAGAATTACTCGGTTATTTCAATTAGAAGCATCTCACCACCTCTGAAACCCTACCAAGCCACATGAAAGAGGGTGAATCCCTCAAATCCACAAATGAACGACGATATTTTGACAACGAGGCCTATGAAAGAATCGATTTGACGATAGAAACATCCTTATACTTTGAAGCTCATCGAATCTTAAGGTACTTATCCCAAACAAGTGATGACCTATCAGCAATCAGGGTCGTTGAGACTATATCTGAAATCACAAAAAGTCAACATGGCTCAAACGGGCTCAACAATGGAGAAGTAGATAAATCCTACTCGGCTAGAGATGGTCAGGTCAGGACTTCATGGGTCTATCATCCCAAGCTATTAGAACCTTAAGTCTACCTGATAGCGAAGGCAGTTGAGCAAACCTGCCCGAATATCTCTTGTCAGCAATTTCTGAATTGCATTGTCCAAGAGAAATCTCGCTAACCCTAAAGGAAAGAGGACTCTAAAGCTTTATGAACCTCTAGTGGTAGAATCCATAGAAATGAGACTTACACTTGCCAAGAAAGTGATATGGATGCCTCCAGAAAATAGAGAAAAGAGAGGTTCATCTACAAAACAGAAGACGCTCTCACAAAGGACTTACATCCCATCTGGGTCTAGGAGACTCTAATATTCTAATCGTGCTAGACAACCACCTAAGTATAAAAACTTAGGCTAGACTAGTCAGGTTGAAGAAACACGATGGATTCTTCGCGGGACAAATTGTATGATGTAATTATCTATCATGTCCTAGTAAGGAGTTGACTTAATATAACCATGCAATGCAACTCATTTTAAAACTAGTCTGAAAGTCATACAAAAAGTTAATGTAATGGTTTTAAATAGTTATACTATTTTATTCTTAAATTTTGATTTATCTCAATATTCATTTTTAAGATTTTATAGAAAAGAGAATATTTCAGGTCCTTTAAAAGCCTAAACTATATTTCATATGATATCCAGACAAACTACAATCATAAGAAAGCGATAAGACACCACACGACATAAGGTAAATCAAGCTAAATGTATAAATAAACAAATAGGATGGGTGCCAATAAGCCGACAATATATCCCAAAAAAGCCAAAACAGCTATTAGACTCTGCATATATATACCTGATATACAAGAATAGAATTCTAGAATTAAGGTATAGGACACGAGCTAACTGCTCTTGGTCCCTGCCACGAGATTCCCGCATCATGAACCTCAAGCCCGTACTTTATTTCTAGTATAGACTCAGCCTAATGAACTCATAGAGATGACCTGCATGAAAATAAAGGATAACATAAAAGATACTTACATGCAACGTGATGAACTATGCCCTGTGGGAAGGAGAATAAACAATGCTTACAGAAATCACATTAGATAAAATCAAAACAGTCCCTCCCTGTTCAACATGACTTCCTACAAGGAAAACTGACCTAGTGTACTAGTGCGCATGTCTCACACCTAGTAAACACACAAAGTATCAAACAAAATTCCTGACTAGGTTGCACCAAAGAGTAATTGCCAGTACATGAAAAACATAACTACACCTAGCCTTATTCTAGCAAGCATCTAAAACATAAGATGACCTATTCACAATATCTAAGTGTGTGGCTAAGGTTGGATATATGTTCTTGTCGGCACTATTTTTGGTGTGGGGTTTGCCCGTAAGAAGCTGTCGGTCATCGGAATTGAAAATCCGTTGCCCGCTTCGGAAGGACGTTAAAAAAATTTAGTTTTGAAAAAGATGAAGTCAAACTGACCCCATAATTTTCATAGTTTAAATGAAAGAGCGCTTTACCTCAAATCCTGTATCTATCCCAAAGGATGAACACAAGAATTGAGGGTGAGGCTCGATTAAATAAACTAGAGAAAGTTATGACATCTGTTTGGTCTGCGAAAACCAATATATTGGCCGACAAATTCCCCTATTTAATATAAGGAATTAAATAGGGTTTATATTATGCTGGGTTCGGGAAAAGCTTCCTATAAGGGCAAGCCCCCATAGTTAATTACATCTTAG